GGGAAAAGAGAGGAAAGACTGTAAAGAGCAAACAGAGAGAGAGACAAGACCTAAGAATGGCAAAATAGAGAGAAATAAAAAAAATCGTAGAAGAGTAATTTAGCGAGAGAGAGAAAGAAAGAACGAAAGAAAGAAAGAAAGAAAGAAAGAAAGAAAAATCCGAAGAAGATCAAGAGAGTGAAACAGAGCGAGAGAAAGAAAAGTCCAAAGAAAAGAGAGAGAGAGAGACAGAGAGAGAGAGAAAAGAAAAGAATAAAGAAGAGAGAGAAAGAGAAGAATAGCTGGAAGGAGAGAGAGAAAGAGAGAAAAAGAGAAAAGGAAAGAAAAAAGAGAAAAAGAGAGAAAAGAGACAGAGGAAACGGAAGAAAGACTGCAAAGAACAAACAGAGGGAGTGAGAGAGAGAGAGAAAATGCCTAAGAATAGCAAGAAAGAGAGAAATAAAAGAAAAGCCTGAAAAAGAGCAAGAGAGAAAAAGCGAGATAGGGAGGTAAAAAAGAAAAGACCAGAGAGAAGAAGAACGAGCGATCGTAAGAGCGAGAGAGAGAGAGAGGGAGAGAGAAATCTCCAAAAGAGAGAGAGAGAGAGAGAGAAAGAACAGTCTGAAGAAGAGAGAAAGTGGAAGAAGAGAGAGAGAAAAAAACAGGAAACGAGAGAAAAAGGAGAGAAAAAAGACAAAGAGAGAAAAAGAGAAAATCGAGAAAGAGAAAGTATGAGAGAGACAGAGAGAGATCCAAAAGAAGAGAAGAGAGACAGAAGAAAGAAGAGAGAGAGAGACAGAAGAAAGAAGAGACAGACAGACAGACAAAAGAAGTAGTCGAGAAAGAAATTAGGAAGAGAAACCAAAAAAAAAGTTTGACGGTAAACTGGTGTCATTGCAACTTCATCTTTTTTTTTTTTTTTTAAAGTGAAGACCATTTTTCTCAAGTAATTAATTTCTTTTTAATCCACAAGTTTCTTTCGCGTGCACTGAACCGCTAGCAGCAAATTCTTTTAGTTTTCACTTTCTATTTTATCTTTCTGTCTGTATGGTACCTGTGTGGGGTCAGTTATACCCATTTGATGCACAACTAAGAAGAAACCTCGGTGCTTCAATCAAGAATTGTTTTATTCACCTGGTCGAACGCAAAATAATAAATATTGTCTTATCTCTTTTGGGAGACGTGAGTGAGGAGTGTTAATCAGAATTTAATGGCCTCTACCAATGTGGAATCCGAATAGTATATGAATTATTATTTGTTTCAATTGTTTGGGGTAATCGCAGGATACGTGAAGACGGAAGAAAAGAAATGTCAAATAAAAAATATAGAAATTTATCGGAAGCAGAAAATGAAAACGGATCTGTGTGAAATAAGAAATGGGAGAATGAATTGCCTTTTACTTGGTTTGAAATCGAATAAAAGATGAAAAGGAGTGAACAAAAAGAGATAAGAAAATTAAAGGAGAAAAGAAAGAAAGACGAAAAGAAAAAGAAAGAAAGACGAAGAAAAAGAAAAAATATCAAATAAGCAAAGACAATAAATAACGACAGAAAGGACCAATAAAATTGAGAGGAGAAACGAAGAGGGGGAGGGAATAAAAATAAAAGTAAACTAAATTTAGAGGGTAGTTAGAAATAGAGAGAAAAGGAGGAGATAAAGACAAAGAGATAAAGACAAGTGAGGAGGGGGGATGGACATAAAGAAGACAGAAAAGAGGAAAAAGAGAAACTGAAAAGAAAGCAAAGGAAGAAAGCAGGGATAAAGAAAAGCAAAATGTAAAGAAAACTAGCGAAGAAGAAGAAGAAGAAGAAGAAGAAGAAGAAGAACAACAACAACAACAACAACAACCATGGAAAGAGAAAAGGAAGAAGAAGCAGCGAAAGAGAAAAGAAAAAAGAAGCAGAGAAAGAGAAAAGGAAGAAGAAGCAGAGAAGGAGAAAAGGAAGAAGAAAGGACCGATAAAATTGTGAGGATAAATGAAAGGGGAGGAATAATAAACTCTGAGCTTGACTCAAGAATTTTTATTCACTTAGCCGAAATAACAAAAAGACAAAATGTATTAAGTTCTACAAAGGACAGGAAGTTGTGGAGAGCTATCATCCTGATGGATCAACGCACATAAAAAAGAAGATGAATTATGCTTCTAGAAATATATGTATCGGTGGAATAAGAGAAAGAAAAACAACGGATAATTGCAATAGAGAGAGAGAAAGAGGGAGAAAAGAAAACATCGAATAAGGGAAAGAGAGAGAGGAAAAGAGCAAACAGAGAGAGAGGGGGGAGAAAAGACCTAAGAATGGCAAAATAGAGAGAAATAAAAAAAAACATAGAGGAGCAATTTAGAGAGAGAGAGAGAGAGAGAGAGAGAAAAGAAAAGAGTAAAGAAGAGAGAGAAAGAGAAAGAGAAGAAAAGCTGCAAACAACAATAAAAACAACAAAAAACAGGGAAAGAGAAAAGGAAGAAGAAGCAGAGAAAGAAAAAAGAAGAAGAAGCAGAGAAAGAAAAAAGAAGAAGAAGCAGAGAAAGAGAAAAGAAAAAAGAAGAAGAGAAAGAAAAAAGAAGAAGAAGAAGCAGAGAAAGAGAAACGAAAAAAGAAGCAGAGAAAGAAAAAAGAAGAAGAAGCAGAAAAAGAAAAAAGAAGCAGAGAAAGAAAAAAGAAGAAGAAGCAGAGAAAAGAAAAAAGAAGAAGAGAAAGAAAAAAGAAGAAGAAGCAGAGAAAAAAAAAAGAAGAAGAGAAAGAAAAAAAGAAGAAGAAGCAGAGAAAGAGAAACGAAAAAAGAAGCAGAGAAAGAAAAAAGAAGAAGAAGCAGAAAAAGAAAAAAGAAGCAGAGAAAGAAAAAAGAAGAAGAAGAAGCAGAGAAAGAAAAAAGAAGAAGAAGCAGAGAAAGAGAAAAGGAAGAAGAAGACGAGAAGGAGAAAAGGAAGAAGAAAGGGCCGATAAAATTGTGAGGATAAATGAAGGGGAGGAATAATAAACTCTGAGCTTGACTCAAGAATTTTTATTCACTTAGCCGAAGGCAAAGTTGTTGCGTGCCTGTGTGTACCTGTTGTAGAGGTAAACACATGTGTCCCCTGAAATTGCCCACAACAAACATGGCGGACTCGGAGAATGAGTCCACCATAAAGAAATTTAATGAAACAAGAACCGATATATAAGTATATACCGACAAATAATAATGTATTAAGCAACAAAGAGTTTACAAAAATGACATAGACACTAATGTGTGTATACAAATGAATGTGTAAAGTTTTTGGTCATGAAGTGAGTGAATGTGCGTACGTACGTGCGCGCGCGTGTGTGTGTGTGTGTGTGTGTGTGCATTATTCATGACAGCGAAAAACTCACATCTCCACGAGAGATTTACATTGTTGTAGTCTCAGCTGAAAAGTAAAGAGGAAAAGAGGGCGAGAAAAAGATATCGCGCATGCAAATCACCAACAGTTTTCCTTTTTTAAGTCTTTGTCTCGCACATGCGCCATGATGGAATTACAAATAGCGACCATTGGTCTAACTTCACTACAGAAAGAAACGAAGGCAAAGACAATAAATGACGACAGTAAGGGCCGATAAAATTGAGAGGAGAAACAAAATAGGAAAAAATAACCTTTGAGTTTGACTTGAGAAGTTTTATTCAGCTAGCCGAACGCAAAATAGTCAATATTGGCTTGATATATTTCGGAAGGCATGAGGTGGTTATAAGTTGATGTACGATATATTTGATTGTGTTTCTTATTTCTTATTTCTCCGCTGACATTGAAAGTGGTGTTGATTATGTTGACAAGTAGGGATGTGAACCTATGATGTATAGTTATATATTGATGTACTATATGTTTCATAGTTTTCCATATTTCTTCACTGCCAATGAAAGATGGGGTGAGCATGTTGACAAGTAGGGATGTGAACCTATGATGTATAGTTATATATTGATGTACTATATGTTTCATAGTTTTCCATATTTCTTCACTGCCAATGAAAGATGGGGTGAGCATGTTGACAAGTAGGGATGTGAACCTATGATGTATAGTTATATATTGATGTACTATATGTTTCATAGTTTTCCATATTTCTTCACTGCCAATGAAAGATGGGGTGAGCATGTTGACAAGTAGGGATGTGAACCTATGATGTATAGTTATATATTGATGTACTATATGTTTCATAGTTTTCCATATTTCTTCACTGCCAATGAAAATGGGGTGAGCATGTTGACAAGTAGGGATGTGAACCTATGATGTATAGTTATATATTGATGTACTATATTTTTCATAGTTTTCCATATTTCTTCACTGCCAATGAAAGATGGGGGTGAGCATGTTGACAAGTAGGATGTGAACCTATGATGTATAGTTATATATTGATGTACTATATGTTTCATAGTTTTCCATATTTCTTCACTGCCAATGAAAGATGGGGTGAGCATGTTGACAAGTAGGATGTGAACCTATGATGTATAGTTATATATTGATGTACTATATGTTTCATAGTTTTCCATATTTCTTCACTGCCAATGAAAGATGGGGTGAGCATGTTGACAAGTAGGATGTGAACCTATGATGTATAGTTATATATTGATGTACTATATGTTTCATAGTTTTCCATATTTCTTCACTGCCAATGAAAGATGTGGTGAGCATGTTGACAAGTAGGGATGTGAACCTATGATGTATAGTTATATATTGATGTACTATATGTTTCATAGTTTTCCATATTTCTTCACTGCCAATGAAAGATGGGGTGAGCATGTTGACAAGTAGGGATGTGAACCTATGATGTATAGTTATATATTGATGTACTATATGTTTCATAGTTTTCCATATTTCTTCACTGCCAATGAAAGATGTGGTGAGCATGTTGACAAGTAGGGATGTGAACCTATGATGTATAGTTATATATTGATGTACTATATGTTTTCATAGTTTTCCATATTTCTTCACTGCCAATGAAAGATGGGGTGAGCATGTTGACAAGTAGGGATGTGAACCTATGATGTATAGTTATATATTGATGTACTATATGTTTCATAGTTTTCCATATTTCTTCACTGCCAATGAAAGATGGGGTGAGCATGTTGACAAGTAGGGATGTGAACCTATAATGTATAGTTATATATTGATGTACTATATGTTTCATAGTTTTCCATATTTCTTCACTGCCAATGAAAGATGGGGTGAGCATGTTGACAAGTAGGGATGTGAACCTATGATGTATAGTTATATATTGATGTGCTATATGTTTCATAGTTTTCCATATTTCTTCACTGCCAATGAAAGATGGGGGTGTTATGTTGACAAGTAGGGATGTGAACCTATGATGTATAGTTATATATTGATGTACTATATGTTTCATAGTTTTCCATATTTCTTCACTGCCAATGAAAGATGGGGTGAGCATGTTGACAAGTAGGGATGTGAACCTATGATGTATAGTTATATATTGATGTACTATATGTTTCATAGTTTTCCATATTTCTTCACTGCCAATGAAAAGATGTGGTGAGCATGTTGACAAGTATGGGATGTGAACCTATGATGTATAGTTATATATTGATGTACTATATGTTTCATAGTTTTCCATATTTCTTCACTGCCAATGAAAGATGTGGTGAGCATGTTGACAAGTAGGGATGTGAACCTATGATGTATAGTTATATATTGATGTACTATATGTTTCATAGTTTTCCATATTTCTTCACTGCCAATGAAAGATGTGGTGAGCATGTTGACAAGTAGGGATGTGAACCTATGATGTATAGTTATATATTGATGTACTATATGTTTCATAGTTTTCCATATTTCTTCACTGCCAATGAAAGATGTGGTGAGCATGTTGACAAGTAGGGATGTGAACCTATGATGTATAGTTATATATTGATGTACTATATGTTTCTTATAGTTTTCCATATTTCTTCACTGCCAATGAAAGATGTGGTGAGCATGTTGACAAGTAGGGATGTGAACCTATGATGTATAGTTATATATTGATGTACTATATGTTTCATAGTTTTCCATATTTCTTAACTGCCAATGAAAGATGTGGTGAGCATGTTGACAAGTAGGGATGTGAACCTATGATGCATAGTTATATATTGATGTACTATATGTTTCATAGTTTTCCATATTTCTTCACTGCCAATGAAAGATGTATTGAGAATGTTGACAAGTAGGGATGTAAACCTATAATGTAAAGATATATCTGGATGTATTATATATTCCATTGTCTTGAGAAGTAGGGATGTGAACATATGCTGTATAGTTAATCTTGTTGTACTATAAATTTCATTGACTTCCTTATTTCCTCACTACCAATGAAAATATAGTGAGGAAGTTGACAAGTAGAGATGTAAAGCTTTCATGTATAGTTATATCTTGATGTACTATGTTCCATTGCATTCCTTATTTCTTCGCTGACATTGAAAGTGATGTTGACTATGTTTACAAGTAGGGATATGAATCTATGATGTATAATTATATATTGATGTACTATATGCTTCACTGACTCCTTAATAATTCGCTGAATTTGAAAATGCTGTTGACTGTTGAGAAGCAAGGATGTGAACCTATGATGTATAGTTATATATTGATGTACTATATATTTCATTGACTTCCTTATTAATTCACTGACATTGAAAATGGTGTTGACTGTTGAGAAGCAGGGATGTGAACCTATGATGTATAGTTATATATTGATGCACTATATGTTTCATTGTTTTCCATATTTCTTCACTGCCAACGAAAGATGTGTTGAGAATGTTGACAAGTAGGAATGTGAACATATAATGTATAGTTATATCTTGTTGTACTATATATTTTAATGTCTTCCTTATTTCTTTACTGATAATAAAAGATATAGTGAGCATGTTGACAAGTAGGGATGTGAAGCTATAATGTATAGGTTTATATCAATGTATGTACTATATGTTCCATTGTCTTCCTTATTTTTTCGCTGATATTCAAAGCGGTGTTGACTATGTTTTGAAGTAGGGATGTGAACCTAAGAATTATAGTTATATCTTGATGTATTATATGTTTCATTGTCTCCCTTATTCTTCGCTGTCATTGAAAGATCTGTTGAGAATGTTGAGTAGTAGGGATCTGAACCTATGATGTATAGTTATAACTTGATGTACTATACGTTTCTGTTATTTAGTTTTTCGCTACCATTGAAAGACGTTGTGACCATGTTGAGATGTAGGAATATGAGTCTATGATAAAGATATGTTTGATCGTGTTCCTTATTTCTTATATAATCAAACAAAATGCTTCTTTATTGTTAATTAGCCTGGCATTCTTTTGCGTCTTTACATTTCAATGCAACATTTAGTGGTCAACAACAATTTCTAAATTTGCATCGCAGAAATAAGACCCTTAACGCGAATATGGTTGTTTAAATTTCATTCCAACCCTAAATGGGAACAAAGATATAACCGTAAGTTCTATGCTAATAGTTTCTTCGATCGCTTGTGGAACTCTTCTGGTTTCTTGCTTTCCTTTCATCTATGATCGTCGCAAATTTAAATGCAGTATAAATTATCATTTTTGTCTACTTGAATGTTGTTGTTTTTTCATTCTCCTTTCTATTTCAAAATATGTTTTCTACATTCCACTCTCAGTAAGTCCCTTGCGTATTAGTGACTTCATCACCTTGCCTGATATAAAATGATAAAAAAAAATGTTCACGAATTTAATTTCTTGCTTATTCAGGATGAATACGCCTGCTCTGACTTTCAGCTGGTTAAGGTTTCCATTTGAATAAGACTGTAAGTAACAAGCAACAATTTCTGAGTCATACACAAAAATAACATCTTGAAACCGAATTCGATGTTTTTTATCTGATATATATATATATATATATATATATATATATATATATATATATATATACAAAACGCCTAGTTTAAAAGGCAACAGGTTTTGATACTTAATGTATTCAGTATCTTGGATTCTGCATTGGCGTTCATTGGAATCAGAATTTTAACTTCTACATATCACTGCTTCCTGCTTTCCTATCTGCCGGAAGTCATCGTCTGTTATTACAGGTTTGGTGACCCATCAGATCCATCCAACTATCGGCCTATTCATCTTCTGTCTCTTTTGGAAAACTCCTTGGGTCCCTAATCAATACTGAATTGGTTCATCATCTCCCACCACTATTTACATTGTTCGGACTATTATCCTCATCTTTATTGTCAGATTCACGACGTTTCGCCCGTTGTACGCTCTAGCCTTCTTCAGTTGATATACGAACTGAGCCCTTTATTTAGTTTACTGGGGTAGATTGTTCTAGTTCCACATGCCATGCCTTTTCTGGATAACTCACTTTAAGTTCTTTTCCGTTAGTAACTCAACTCTCCAAGTTTTTGTTCACCTCTGTTGTGGCCAGGGATTGAACTCACAACTCTAGAACTAGAACAATCTACCGCAGTGAACTAAAGTAAAAATATCGGTTCGAAATTCAAACATATATCACATGAAGAAGGCTGGAGTGTACAACGGCCGAAACGTCG